GGTACTGACTGGAAGACATCAGGACAGCAGCATGTTCAGCCAGTGGGTCAAAAGAATTTCAAGACTTTTTTGTTTTGTTTTTGTTTTTTACAAGCTAAGTTTTCTGAGTGTAGCCCTGTCCATCCTGGACCAGGCTGGCCTTGAACTTGGAGAGATTCACCTGCCTATGTCTCTGGAGTGCTGGAATTAGAGGCATGCCCTACCATCACTCAGCATGAATTAAAAGACTTTAATAGTACAGCTCTGCTGATTATCTTGGCTGAACATCAGCGTAGGTCAAAAAAGACAAAATAGCAAACAAATACAGAGGTCTCAAATGATGTTTTATTTTTAGTTAGATTATAGCTTATTTACTTTAAGATATGAAAGATACGAAACCAAAATCTAACAAATTGCAACTTAAGTTGCACTAGAATACTTTGAAATATTAAAGGCATTTAGGAAAGATTAGATATTAAGAGGACATAAATTCATCTGGACATGATTGTGCACACCTTTAGTCTCAGCACTCAGGAGGAAGAGGCAGTCGGCTCTCTGTGAATTCAAGCCCAGCCTGGTCTACAGAGTGAGTTCCAGTACAGCCATGGCTACAGCTATCTCAAAAACTAAAGGACATAAATTTTAGATAAATTGATTTTATGATAAAGTGATGTTTACATTCTTTGGATTATCATTAAAAATTAATTGTATTAATTGAGCGGTAGATTCATGGATGTTTATTAATCTGCTTTATTAATAAAGATGTTACTTACATTTTATAGAATTATTATAATATTACATTATAAATGGGGAAAAGACTAAAGTTTTTAATTTTGAGAGGTGTCCTTTAGAATATTTAAAAATGTTTATGTGTATGGGTGTTTTACCTGAATGTATGTATGTGCGCTAAGTGCATGTTTGGTGCCTAGAGAAGTCAGAAGAAGGCATCAGATCTCCTGGAACTGGAGTTACAGTTGCGAGCTGACACGTGGGTGCTGGAAACTGAACCTGGGTCCTCTGGAAGGACAGCCAGTGCTCTTGCGCACTGAGCCATCTCTCCCTGATTTAGAATTCTTAATAAAACTTACTTTTCAAAAAAAAAGACAGTAAGTCCCTTTTCCAGTGCTAGTCATCCAGGAATGGAGGCTCTGGCTGTGAGTGTTAATGGACTCTCGATGTTATCTCAGGTTGCAGATCCTTACTGTAGTAGCTGCCGTAGCCCATTTGTCTTTATTCTTCTGTAAACGGCTTGTTTCTGTTCTTTACCCATCTTTCAACTGAGTTAACTTTTCCTTGTCAATAGGTAAAATGTCATTGTGTTACAGTTGTTATGTTTTATCTAAGGGCTCAAATTTTAAGAAGCAAGTGTTGTAAGTATTGAACAGATTCTTTCAGATGTAGCAAGTACATAGTTATAATATTTTAAAACATTTTCTCTTACAGTTAAAAAACCGGGGCCGCTGGCTCCATTGGAATGAATTAATTAAAAGTTCTAGTTTAGAAGACAAACGTACCAAGATTCAAGACATCATAGTCCCTACAATGGACACAATAAGATATACTTTCCTAATGGATTTGAGTATTACCTATGCAAAGTAAGAAACTCTACTGTAAACATGAATTCTAAATGTAACAGTACCATTCTAATAAAATGGTAGCATTTTTTAAAGTAAACTTTAAGGTCATTGAGTTTCAGGCAGCTGAGACTGTGGCTGGGAGCTAATTAACATGTTCTAAATGATAGCTACTGTTATCGGAAAACCTAGAATTCAGCTTTCTTATTACTCACTCCAAAGTTTTAACGGAACTATAGTTTACTGCCTTTTAAGTCACCAAAATTCACTTGTAGTGTTACTATTGAAAAGCTATCGATTCTGGGATGGGGAAATGGCTCCGTCAGTAAAGTTTTACTTCCTAAGCGTGTGGAACCAGACTCCATCTAAAAAGCAATGGGCATGATGGTGCACACTTGTAGTCACAGCCATGGCAAGATGGGAGAGAGAGACGGGCGGAACCCTGAAAGCATATGGGCCAGCTAGCCTAGCCTTCTTGGCAAAGTTCTAGGCCAGTGAGGGACCCTGTCTCAAACAAAAGGTGGGAAGTACCTGGGAATACTACCATGGTCGTCTCTGAACTCCATACATGTGTTGTGCCTGTGCATGTCTACACATACATATGTACTCATACAACCAACCACCCCTCCACAAGTCTATGCATTTTACATACAGGTTCAGTGTCTCCAGACTAGTAGGGCAGTAACCTTTTGGAGAATGCTCCTATCTCTGCTTCTCATCTCACAGTAGGAATGCTGGGGTTGCAGACACCAGCTCCCAGGTCCCTTGTTACATGCGTTCCAGGGATCCAAACTCAGGTCATCAGGCTTGCAAGGCAAGTGCTTTTACCTGCTGAGCCACCTCCTCGGTCCTACCTTTGCTGGGCTTTCGTGAACAATTATGTGCATGTGGGGTTTTAGGTAGAAATGACTTAACTACTATTGAAAGTTTTTTTAAAATACTTACTTGAGTTTCTTTCCATAAAAATGCTTTCCTACTTTCTTCCATTTTGAATTATGTTATTCATTATTTTCATCAAGGCCACTGCTTTTTGTGGGTCCAACTGGTACAGGAAAGTCAGTGTATGTGAAGGATAAGCTAATGAATCACTTGGAAAAAGACAAGTACTTTCCTTTCTATGTCAATTTCTCTGCACGGACCAGTGCGAATCAGGTTCAGGTTAGTATAAAGCCAGAAACTTGGGCTTATAAGCATTATGCTTTATCTTATTTGATAAACATTAAAATATTTAGTTATATGTTAAACATGCAACTTTGTAAATCTATGAATAAAAAGATAACGCTTTTGCATTAGCCCTTTATTAAGATTTGTCACTCATTGTGGCTTGAGAAGCAACAATTGACTTACCTGGAGAATAAAGTGTAAGAAACGCTCATGTGTGTGCATACAAGAGTAGTGGGTGGGCATAGGAGAATATCCAGTTGTTTCCGGTACTCTGCTGGATGACTTTTAAGGACATTTGCTGCTCACTTGATTGGTCCAACCATGATATATTGCATGACCTTCTTTTGCCCCTAAATGTAACAAGCTGAAACTATTTCATGAAGCTTCTTGTAATTGCCACATTTAGCATCTGTTCCTAAATTTGTGCCTACTTATTCTCCCCAACCCTATTTCTGTTGTTTTCAGCCAAGAGATTTATCTTCATTTCAAAGTCATGCAAAGTTAGAATACTGTAAAATTTTTAAATAAAATAATCTTGGTATTCAGTTTTACAATGTCCAACAAGTTTAAAAATTACCAGAAATATTTAAAAAGCATATACATTTATGTTGACCTTAAAAATCCAAAGGTTGGAAAAATTAATGCTTTTAATTAAACCTTAGGTAAAGGGGTATCCAGTGTGAAAAGTATTATAGAGTTATACATGTGTATATGTAATGCAAGCTTGACATGTAAACACCTGTTATAAATCGAAGTGCAAGGGAGAGCTTCAACAGATGTTATCTGAACTGATGTCAAGTTTAAAGTTTAGTATCATTTTCAGTAAGAGTAGCTCAGAGTAATTACGCACATAACATATAACATTATTTCCTCTCAAAGATTGTTCAGTCCTTTTTTCTGATGTTAATTTTTTATGTTAAGTTATTGACTAATTAACAAATGGTAGCTGCTACTGGTATACCATGGATACTGGCTGCATAGATCTTAATATTGACTTAATCAATGATGATAATAGTAAATTTGTAATATTTTCATAGGTAAATATACCTTTTCTTTTTAAATTTTTAGAACATCATTATGTCTAGATTGGACAAAAGGCGCAAGGGAGTATTTGGACCACCTATGGGAAAGAAATGTATAGTGTTTATAGATGATATGAACATGCCTTCATTGGAGAAATATGGAGCTCAGCCTCCTATTGAGTTATTACGACAGTTTTTTGATTGTGGACACTGGTAAGTAATTCAATTAAAGTCTATTTTTCTTCTTATTTATTCTTCTGTCATACAGTACATCCCTACCACAGCCTCCCCTCCCTCCACTCCTCTCAGCTCCCCCACCCCCTCTCCCCTCTTCTCCAGATCCACTCCTCCTCTGTTTTCCTTCAGAAAAGAGTAGGTAGGCCTCCCAGGGATATCAACCAAACATGGCATAACAAGATGCAATAAGACTAGGCACAAATTCTCATATCAAGGCTGGATGAGGCAAAGTAGGAGGAAAAGGGTCCCAAGAACAAGCGCACGCGCGCGCACGCACACACACACACACACACACACACACACACACACACACACACACACACACACAAAAAAAAAAAAAAAAAAATCCCACTCTTAGGAGTTCCACAAAAAACCCCAAGCTACCAATATACGTAGAGGACCTAGTGCAGAACCATGCAGGCTCTGTGATTAACACTCCAGTCTCTGTGAACTCCTAGGAGCCCTGCTTAGTTGATTCTGTGGACCTGTTCTCCTGGTGTCCTCAATCCTTCTGGCTCCTACAATCCTTCCTCCCCTGTAGATGTAACCAACCGTCTTCTTAAATAAGAAACACAGAACCAATGCAAAGAAGAAAGCCAAGAGGTCAGAGCTAAGAGCTAAAACCTTACCCTTCCTCCTGCGGTGGTCCTACCTCTCCGAACCAGAGCTACTTTTTGTGTTAAAGTCTTTATATAGAGTTCCTGTCCTGCCTTCTCATTGGTTGTAAACCCAAACACATGACCGCCTCATCACGGCCTGTCTGTATAGGCCTCCAGGTTTTCTATGATTGGTATTGAGATTAAAGGCATGTGTATCCAATACTGGCTGTATCCCTGAACACACAGAGACTTACCTAGCTCTGCCTACCAAGTGCTGGGATTACAAGTGTACGCCACCACTGCCCTGCTTTCCTATGGCTTGCTAATAGCTCTGACCCTGGGTAACTTTATTTATTAACATACAAATAACATTTTAATACAAATAAAATATCACCGTATTTCCCCTTTTCTATTTTTTTTAAGAGTCAACACTGCTTCACGGTTTATTTTGTTGTACATTCTTGTAGAACCGGGTTCATTTTTCCAGTTTTGTAGAAAAATAGATGTTCCAGCCACCATTTACTTAACTGTCTAGTATTTAAGACCAATCAATGTGTTCCCTGGAAAGATGAAAAAGTCTCATGACTAACTCATCTTTTAAAAATTCTTTAAGACGGGTGGTGGTGGCGCATGCCTTTAATCCCAGCACTCGGGAGGCAGAGGCAGGCGGATCTCTGTGAGTTCGAGGCCAGCCTGGACTACAGAGTGAGTTCCAGGAAAGGCGCAAAACTACACAGAGAAACCCTGTCTCTGAAAAACCAAAAAGAATAAATAAATAAATAAAATAAAAATTCTTTATGACAAAAATGTGTGTGTGTGTGTGTGTGTGTGTGTGTGTGTGTGTGTGTGTGTGTGTGTGTGTTTACTCCCAAAGCACAGCATTTCCACAGCAGCAGCCAACATGGGGCTTAGTAGCGTCACTTCACCCCTAACTAAAGCTTTGTATAAACCGGTGATATTACTACAAAAAAACCCCACTGTCCTTGAGAGAAAGGAGGGGCAGTCAGACATCAATGCAAAACTTGGAATGATTAGGTCATAAACATGGCACTTAGAAAAAGTAGCTTATCAGAATAGTCCACACTCAAGTGGTTGGTTACTCTGCTGTCCCTCCTTTAATTTCCCCTCAAAGGAAAAAAAATAAGAAAGAAAGAAAAATAAAATACTTCCTTCAAAAATCCCCATTAAATGTATGTTTATAAAATTTCAGAAATGCCTTGTTACCCGACCCCCCCAAAAAAAAAAACTGCACTAACAACTCTTACAGTTCAGATCTGCCGTTATCACACCTAAGATTGTAAGAGTTCTTGTGTTCAGTAGCTCTCTGGTTTAAGACGGCCTCCATCTCCTTCACTTACAAAACGCTTTCTTCCCCTTGATGGACAAAGATCTCGGACTTGTTGGGAAATGATTCCAGCCTGAAAACATTCCTCTACAAAGCTCTCCAGCACAGAGTATGAGTGTGGGATATCCAGATTAATATCTGGAATTTCACTGTAAATTCTCTCATAACCTCTTTTCATTTGGTCTGTGGTAATGGTAGAAGACTTCCACAAGGATTTTAATAAATCTAAGATCATCTTGAATGCATCTTCTCCAGTTGATTCTAAAACAATTACAATGGCTTCATACACAAGCTCGTGGTGAAAATGAGGTACTTCCAGCTCTTTGTGGCAGTGTTCAGCTTCAGAGATATCTCCAGAGAGTAAATACTCTTTAAGCAGCATATCAATCTCTTTAACAAGGTGATTGACAGACTGCTGCTCGCCTCCAGATCCCCACACACTATCTTTGCGCTTTCCACCTTTAGACATACTCAGAAGCGCAGTAGCTTTATCCAAAGCAGCTCTAGCCTGTACACAATCTACAGTTCCTTTGTAACTATCGATATGCTGGCACTGAGGAAATAAAGAAGGAAATAAATGCAAATTGGATTTCCGCATCCTCTATTAAATGAAGCTAGAATTAATGCCACGGCAGAGAGACGACTACGGAAAAAACTCATCCCGGGACTCTGGCAGAGGCGATTCTGTCAGTGATAATGGAAGTGAAGTCATTAGAAGTGGAGTTTACTGTGCCCACCAGTCCAAAAGGTGGTGCAGGAGGCAAGGGTGTCTGGGGTACACCTGGACAGGTGTATGATGTGGAGGAGGTTGATGTGAAAGACCCGAACTATGATGATGACCAGGAGAACTGTGTTTATGAAACTGTGGTTTTGCCTCTGGATGAGACAGCATTTGAGAAGACTTTAACACCAATGACAAGAGTACTTTGAGCCGGGCGGTGGTGGCGCACGCCTTTAATCCCGGCACTCGGGAGGCAGAGCCAGGCGGATCTCTGTGAGTTCAAGGCCAGCCTGGTCTCCAAAGCGAGTTCCAGGAAAGGCACAAAGCTACACAGAGAAACCCTGTCTCGAAAAACAAAAACAAACAAACAAAAAAAACAAAACAAGAGTACTTTGAGCATGGAGATACCAATGAAGTTGCGGAAATGTTAAGAGATTTAAACCCTGGTGAAATGAAAAGTGGAGTGCCTGTGTTAGCAGTGTCCTTAGCATTGGAAGGGAAGGCCAGTCATCAAGAAATGACATCCAAGCTGCTTTCTGACCTTTGTGGGACAGTAATGAGCACAAATGATGTGGAGAAGTCATTTGATAAGTTGTTGAAGGATCTACCTGAATTAGCATTGGATACTCCTAGAGCACCACAGTTGGTGGGCCAGTTCATTGCCAGAGCTGTTGGAGATGGAATTTTATGTAATCCCCTTTTCTATTTTAATAAAAAGAAAAAAGGAAAAAGCTTATAACTAACAAAAGAAAAACTATATACAAAAGTACAATAACTATATAATATATACAAGTAGTAAATACCTAAACAATGTCTAGTTCATTTGTATTTGATAAATTCAGAGAAAATAATTCCATTATCTATCCTATTGTATCTAATTCACTTTCTATCCTAATTAATCTTCAACTATAACTAACTAATCTTCAACTCCCTCAGAGACCCAAGAAGGAAATAATATTAGCTAACAAAAATAAAAACAGGAAGTACATGCAAGCAACTTCCAAAAAAATTGTGAGTTGACAGAAACAGCCAACTGCTTGGACAGTCATCTGAGGTTTCTCCACAGTGTTGGGGCATCATCTTCAGCCTATAGGCTTAGCATATCAGACAGACTCATTTGTGAAGTAGGATGTACACAAGGTCAACAGTTCAACCTCACATTGGGTGAGAGCAGTCTATATACCAGAAACACCTGAATTCCACTAGTGTCATGTCATGATTCAGGATTTTAAATTCTGGAAATTGTTGATTTTTTTTAATTCAGCTGTCCATTCTTCTTGGCTATGTGTGTATGTGCCTTCATCTCAGCATCCCGTTCTTCTCCACATCCCTCTATCAAATGCCAGTCTACTATTGCGAGGCGTGAGCTTAGTTACTCTTCAAGAATAACTGTTTCAGCTGCTGTTCCAATTGCACATCAGAAGCCATCGGCCCACTGCCTGTTCAGCTGCCTTCGAAGAAAAGGGTACTGTACCTTTTCCGGATTGCGAAGGCCACTTCAGGGATGGTGCCATATTGTCCTGGCCTCAGATGATGCCTTTTGATAAAACCATAACCACACTTGTTTTGACAAGAATCAGTAGTCCTTTGTTTTGTGTCCTGTCTGTCCTGTTTGTCAGCAGTTGATTTGAGGATACTTTGTTGTCCAGTGGCTAACTTTTGCCACAATGAAAGTTAACTCCAATTGCAGTTTTTTCAATGCCCATATTTCCTCTGAAGTAGATTGGTACTGCCAGGAGCCGACATGTCTCATAGTCATAACAAAAAAGAAAAATTTTCTAAGTTATTAAAACATTTTAAATACCATATTCTGTAGATCTCTGAAGGGTTTGAAGATGACCTGTCTATCTAAAATATATCTACTCAATCTTGAAAACATACCTAATATGACTACAAGTTCTATTATAATGTCTAACTACTAACTTTCATTTCTTTACTCCCCCTCTTCCACGGTGTTCCCCCAAACACTGGCTGATGTCTGGCTGTGGGTCTCTGCATCTGCTCCCGTCAGCTGCCAGAGGAAGCCTCTCTGATGATGATTAGGTTAGGCTCTGATCCATGAGTACAGCAGAATATCATTAGGAATCATTTCATTGACTTTTTTTTTTCTTTTTTGCCAGTCGTGTTTGGTTCTGTCCTAGGACTCTGGGACACTCAGCTTCAAGTTCCTGGTCCAGGCAGTGTCAGTCATGGGCTCCCTCTTGTGGCCGGGGGCCTCAAATTAGACCTCAGCACTTCAGGCAGGACAGGTTGTGGGTCAAAGGTTTTGTGGCCGGGTTCGTGTCCCAGGCCTACCACTGGAAGGCTGGCCTGGTTACTGAACACGGCTGGTTTGCGCTCTTTACCTCCCTTACTAGGAGTCCTCACTGGGGTCACCCTCACAGGTTCTAAGATGTTTCCACTGCACTAGGTTTCTACATCACTCAATAAATGCCCCCCAATTCCAGTCATCTCTTCCTCCATCCCTCCCTTCTCCACCATCCCTTCTGTTCCCACACCTACCCCCAGTCCACCCACATAATCTATTCTATTTCCTCTTCCCAGGAAGATTCATATGTCCTCCTCAGAACTTCCCTTGTTACTTAGCCTCTCTGGGTCTGTGGATTGTAGTGGGATTATCCTTTATTAACACCTAATATCCATGTGTAAGTGAGCACATATCATGTTCTTCTTTCTGGGTCTGGTTGCCTTGCTCAGGGTGGTTTTTTTTTTTCCCTAGTTCCATCCATTTGCCTGCAAATTTCATGAAGTCATTTTTTTAAACAGCTGAGTAATATACTCCATTGTGTAAATGTACCACATTTTCTTTATTCATTCTTTGGTTGAGGGGACATCAACACTGTTTCCAGTTTCTTTTTTTTTTTTTTTTTTTTTTTTTTTTTTTTTTTTTTTTTTTGGTTTTTCGAGACAGGGTTTCTCTGTGTAGCTTTGCGCCTTTCCTGGAACTCGCTTTGGAGACCAGGCTGGCCTCGAACTCACAGAGATCCGCCTGGCTCTGCCTCCCGAGTGCTGGGATTAAAGGCGTGCGCCACCACCGCCCGGCTATTTCCAGTTTCTTGATACTATGAATAATGCTGCTATGAACATAGTTGAGCAAGTGTCGTTGTGGTAGGATGGAGCATCCTTTGGGTATATGCCCAGGATTGGAATAGCTGGTTCTTGAGGTAGATTGATCTCCAATTTTCGGAGGAACTGCCTTATTGATTTCCATAGTGGCTGTACAACTTAGCACTCTCACCAGCAATGGAGAAGTGTTCCCCTTACTCCACATCCTTGCCAGCATGAGCTGTCACTTGTGTTATTTATCTTAGTCATTCTGACAGGTGTAAGATGGGATCTCACAGTAGTTTTGATTTGCATTTTAAGTGTTTTTCGACCATTTGAGATTCCTCTATTGATAATTCTGTGTTTCAATCTGTACCACATCTTTTAATTATTTGGTTTGTTGATACCTAGTTTCTTGATTTCTTTACATAGTTTGGATATTAGCCCTTTATTGGATGTGGAGTTGGTGGAAATCTTTTCCCGTTCTGTAGGCTGCTATTTTGTCCTATTGACTGTGTCCTTTGCTTTATAAAGGCTTTTCAGTTTCATGAGGTCCCATAATGCTGATCTTAGTCCCTGTGTTATTGGTGTTCTGTTCAGGAAGTTGCCTCCTGTGCCAGTGCATTCAAGGCTATTCCCAATTTCTCTTCTAACAGGTTCAGTGTGCCTGGTTTTAGGTCGAAGTCCTTTGATCCATTTGGACTTGGGTTTTGTGCAGGGTGATAAATATGGATCTATTTGCATTCTTTTACGTGCTAACATCTAGTTAGACCAGCACCATTTGTTGATACTTTCTTTTTTCCATTGTCTATTCTGGCTTCTTTATTTTAAAAAATAAAACAAAACAAAACAAAAAACCAAGTGAGTGGCATTTATAGACTGGCTCCTTTCACGTAGCAAGTGTTTCTTAGTGCTGAGTTAATATTCCTTTATATAGATGTTCCATAGTTTATTAGTCCACTCGTCTGTTGAGGATATCTTGCTTGCTTTCAGGACAACTAGTAATACTTCTATAGACAGTTGTTTGAAAATACTATGTGGATATGTTTTAAACTGCGTTAGATAAACACCAACTACAAAAATAGCTAGTGTAATGAGTATCTTAATTTCTTCCCCTGTTGCTATGATAAAAGACTTGGTCAAAACCAACTTAAAGAAAAAGGGAGCTTATTTTAGCTTTCCTGGGTTACAGTCTACCATGGTAGAGAGAAACCAGGGCATCAGGAACTTAAAGCAAGCTACTCACAGTCCATCAGCAGTCAGAAGAGAATACAGGCGTGAGAGCTTGCTTTCTCCACTCTTATACAACCCAGGATCCCCGGCTTAGGAAATGGTACTGCCCCAAGTGGACAGGATTTCCCTCCTCAATTAATGTAATTAAGATAATCTCCTACAGATGTCCTCAGAGGACTGAGGATTCTAGATTTTGACAATTAAAACTAACCTTCACAAATTGTTATGGTAATACAATGTTTGGTTTTAAAATGAGTATGGAATACACTCCCATAATCCCAGCACTCAGGAAGCTAGTCTGAATTCTCCTAATCTATGTCTTATCTTCTTTATTGTCTTTTACAAATAGAAATTTCTATTTTAATGAAGATCACCTTTTCAATTATTTCTTTCACAAGGCCTTTGTTATCATAACTTAAAAACTGACTTACCTAATGTCATTTACATTTTTCTCCAATGTTATCTTCTAAGACTTTGATGGTTTTGCACTTAATATTTAGGTCTGTGGTCCATTTTGAATTAATTGTTCTGAAAGGTGTAT